GATCAGGTTTATAAACTTGAGTGTATGAATTAGTAGTGAAATGTTACTCGATAACTGGCTGTGGAGGGAGGACCATGTCGAGATAGAAGTGTTTGTGTTCGTGTTGTGATGTGCGATGCGCGGAGCAGAGAGAGGCTGCGGTAGTCACAGCTGCTCCGCTTGCAAGACGTTTAACGCCCTCAGAGCAGGCTTCTGGAGCACGGCCTGCTTCCTCTTCCCCAGGCCCGCCGAAGGCCTCTCGCAGCCTCTCCAGAGGAACCGCTGGTCTTCCAGGTCGGTTGGACACTACTCCAGGGCCTCGGGCAGGATGGGCTCCACCAGGCCCATGAAGAGTGGCGGAGGCTTCATCCACGGGGGCTTCAAGGCCGCAGCGCTTGTGAATCGGTCGCCGCCCCGACCCGGGCTGACCCGCTCGCGCACTACGCTGGACGCAAGCTGTGCCACCCCCTACTCCTCCGCCCACTCCCTGGCCCACTCCTCCTCGGGCCATTCCTTGGCGTTTTCCTCCTCCAGCCATTCGCTGGCGCCGTCCGCCTCGTCCCACTCCCTAGCGTCGCCCTCGATGACGGAGCTGACCCCATCACCGTCCACGCGCTCGCTCGCTTCGTCGTCGGCGTACTCGTCGCAGTCGTCGGCTACGCTCAGCCGCAGCTCGTCCAACCTGAGCCTCGGCTGGCGCGAGTTCCGGGCGCGGCGGAAGCCCTTCGCCGTGCTCTACGACGGGCAAAAGGCCCAGTCTCGCGGCGGCATCGGGGAGGGGCTGCTGCCGGCCCTGCGCCACCACGTGCTAGGGGAGAAGAAGGCCCGGGCGGTCCAGAATACCAAAGAATCAACCAAAGAAAGTTCCTCCCGCTCGACCAAAGACTCGGTGCTCGCCAGAGAAGAGGGCGTCGCCGCTCGCACCTTCACCAAAGCCGCAACCAAAGCACCTCCTTCGGACGCGAAGGACCACAAGGACGCCAAAGGATCCTTCCTCTCCAGCATCGCAAAGACCAAGCTCAAAGGACGTCGGGATGACCTACGACGCTTCACCACCAGTGTGCTGCCGGCGCACCTGCTCGGCCTAGCCAAGCACGCCGCCGCCAGGAACAGCAGCAGCAGCAGCAACAACAACAACTCCACGACTACCAACAACAACAATAACAACAAAAACAAAGCCGGCGCTGGCCCGGCCCCCCCGCCAGTGAAGTCGGGCGCCCAACACTTGCCCAAGAAAGTGCAGCGCCTGGACGATGCGGGGCGAGAGGCAAGCGCTGCCATGGGGCCTCCGCGAGTGTACCACCGAAGCGTCAGCCACTCGGCCATGGCGAGCTCGCGCGAAGGAGGGCACTGCCGACAGGGGACGCACATGAATCAGTCGCACGAAAACGTGTCGTCTGCGGGCTTGGCGGGCGCTCACGGAACGCCGACTTCGGGTGTGGCCCCGCCGAAGCCTCCAAGGACCTACGCGAGCGAGGGTGCGACAACGCCTCGGGGAGGGCCTGGCGAACAGTTCCGGAAGCCAGCCACTCCCCCAAGGGTCATCGTGGAGGCGCCGGAAGAGGGTGCTGTCCGAAGCGCGACCAGTCCGCCCCCCGCAAAGCGCAGCTTCGTTCCCCTCGGAACCTCCCAGTCTTGCTCCGCCCTCATTAAGCCGAAGCCCGCCCCTCGGACCGTCTTCCCCACTTTCACCACACCCATTGCTGGTTTCCGTCACCCGCGGCCGCGCCCTCTGCGCCGTCAGCACGACACTCCCCTTCAGGAGTCCCTACCACAAATGTCGTCGACGCCCCTCGTGCTGCCGAGGAACCCAAGCAACCGCGAGGCGCCTAGGAGCCTGGGCCTGGGGACGGATTCGGCAGATGTGACGCCCACGCCTTCGTCTGAGACGATTTGCAATGATGACTCCTTCCTCGACGACTCCTACATGAGCCACAAGTGCTACCTGTCCCCGTCCAGTGTGTACGACTCCTCCTTGGGGTCGTACAACGGCCCCCCAGGCGGCCAGGACCACATCCCCTGGATCACGACGCCGCCCCACAACGCCATCAAGGCCTCGCAGTCGCTGGGAAATCTCCACCTGGCGGACGGCGACGGCGGAGGCCTCCTGCGAGGGCCCGGCCGCCTGCAGGCCGCGCACGAAGGCGCGTCGTTTAGCCACCGGATGCTCCTGTCGTACCGGAACAAGGAAAACGAGGTGAGCCGCTAATCCTGCTACGGGCTTGTTGCTCATTCGAGGATAAAACGACAGTCACACGCGCTAGCCTGCCTTGATCCTAGGAGCAGGCATGCGCACACGGAAAATACACACACGCGACGACGCACGCACACACGCACACACGCACACACACACACACACACACACACACACACGCGCGCGCGCGCGCGCAGAGAGGCAGGGAAAGACACGAATTCATATGCTTCCTTGTACAGGCCAGTACGCCCATATAGAATATATATATGAATACTATCATTGCTTCTTATAGTAAATTGGAACTCATCTGAATGTACCTTCACGCGCAGTCTATTTCCATAGAAATTCCCTCAATTCCCTCCCTCCCTCCGTCCTTTCGTCCCTCGATTCCCTCCTTCCCTTCGTACTCCTTCCCTCCGTCCTTCCGTGTACACATCGACAGCTATTCCATCAGCGAAAAAATCCTCGGCCGTGCTTCGCAAGCCGACCACTCGAAGGCAAAAGTCAGCGCGTTTATGGCCGATATAATGCTGATTGGTTCGTCAAAAGGTGTTACTGCTCCTGCAATACAAGCTATTTTCGCGATCATTATGCTTCCCTAATGGCCCTGGATTGAGGTTCGGGCAATTTGTAAGTGTGTGTTTATGGCATATTCATTTTCGTTCATGTCTTTCACTTGAATATATTTGCATTTGTGTTTTTTTATCGGTTTGTGATTTGACGTTGATTTACTTCCATGGTGGCGTGACTTAGCCTAATGATGCGGTTTATTTTCTAATGATTATTAAATGATTGGTCCCAGTTTCTTAAAGTGTGTTATGTGTATGTTCTGCGTTTTGGTTGTTATGATTATTGTGATTATTGGTATATGTATATTACCGGTATATTATTATTGACTGTATACCTCTTGACCAACATCCAATTCCCACATGGAAATCATGCGGTTGTGGGAGACAGGACCTTCCATGTAAGTCCTCGTCTATTACGACATGTTGAAGTCATTACGCAAGTTAGTGTGTTTGTAGGTTAGTTCGTGGTCGCCTGTGTGCGTGTGTGTATGGAGTGGGAAGGTGTATGTGTGCGCGATGGCAGTGTGGTGTAGGGGGAGAGGGGGCGGACCCATTAGCATATGGTCTAAGGCCTATGGTGAGGTCTGTGCCATCGCTGTGAACTTGTCAGGGTCTTTTGTGTGTTTGAGGAGCAGGTTTTTACGTTGTTTTATTCGTTTTTTTATGTCCAAAGACCCTTTGATTTGAATATTTATATTACAAAGCCTCGGCGAAGGTCAAAATTACCAAGCATTTTTATTATCATAATTTCATTCAAGATGTATTTTCACTTTCTAAGATTGAAGATGAAATTACGTACATTATTATATAGTTATTATTACTACTATTTCTATTATTATTATTGTTGTTGTTGCTCTTGCTGTTGTTGTTATCAATCTTATTAGTGTTCATATTATTATCAATGTCCTGAATATTATTAATACTGTTATTATTGCTATTATTGTTATCGTTATCATCATTATTTTCTCCAAGACCCCGTTTCACTTCCGAAAAGTGAGACCAGAAAGCGTGCGTTGTCTGACCCAGAGGAAGGCGTTGTGACAGCGCTGGCGCCGTGACTCACCTGGGGAAGCTGGAAATTCTGTGCGCGTCATCAGCCTTCCGATTGCTGTGCTGTGCTTATGTGTTTTGTGGTGATTGTGGTGTTTGTTGAGGTGTCAGAGGCGCCTGCATAGCTGAATGGGCGGTTTTGCTGTGATTGCTTCGTGGGTGTTTTTCAGAGTTGAAAAATAGACTATTTGTCGTTTTCTTGCTCTCTGTTTATGGCCAGGTGGATTTTGTTTTATGTATTTGCGTGTGTTTATTTATTCCTTTATTTACCCCAAGTGACATTTCTTGCCTCTATTTCGGCGTCTTCTTGTTCCTCCCCCTTTGTCTTCCGGATAGCCTTTCTTTTTATCACGCTGACGAAGATTCATGCTTAACTAACCAACATTTCTTTGCTTGCAGGTATGTGAGGCAGCGTTTCCCGCCGTTGGCGCAGGGACGGAGGTAAGTAAAAGGGGGAGAGAAGGAGAGCGGGAGAGAGGGGAAAAGGAAGAGGGGGAAATGGGGAAGTGGAAGATAGGGAACTGGGGAAGAGGAAGCGAGAGAAAAGGGGAAAAGGAAGAGAGGGAAATGGGGGAAGAGGAAGAGGAAAGGGAGAGGGAAATGGGAAGACGGAGAGAGATAGAGAGAGAAGTTGTGATGATCATCATCCGTCCCATTTGATTCCCGCATTGGTCAGGATCCCGCAAGAGAATCCTACCCTGCCGTCTCATCCTTCTCTCCGAGCGCCCCACCGCCGTCCCCTTCCCGCCCTGTGTCCCGCCCGCAGAGATCCTTCCTCTCCCTTCTCAGGATTCCCGTCTTAGGACGCCCAAGACTAGTTGTAGGATGCCCCGTCGGCCGCACGTGCCCCGCCGGCCCGCCTCGGAGATGAGCGCGTGTCATCCGTGCGTGACTGGACGAGCGCGGTTCCTGGAGTCAATGGAGGGGCGTGTTGTTCGCTGGGCGCGGTCTCTTAGCGGCAGCGGGCGGGTCTGGCGGCGGTGACGTGGCAGTCGGCGCTTTGGTGGTGTTGTCATTGTTGTTGTTGTTGGTAATGGTGGTGGTGATGGTGCCATTGCTGCTGTTGTTGATTTTTTTGTTGTTGTTTGTTGGTAGATATGGTGCACTGAAAGGATACAGTACCTCAAAGGAGGGAGGAGGAAAGAGAATGCGAAGGAAAGGACAAAGTGATTAGACGGGAGAGAAAGAAAGAGATAGAAAAAACAAGGCAGACACACACACACACACACACACACACACACACACACACACACACACACACACACACACACACACACACACACACACACACACACACACACACACACACACACACACACGCGCGCGCGCGCAGAGAGAGAGAGAGAGGAGGGAGGGAGAGTGGATTTTAGGGTAACTATTATCCTTTGCGTTTGAATTCCGAATAAGCTAAAATCCCGCTAGAGGAAGAGAAAAAAAGAATAAGATGACAATAGATGGAAAAAGAAAAGAGGCTGACTCACCCAGTGAAGAGGATATTGGTTAATGTATGTAGTAACAGTCGCACCGCCATTCATGCTCACATTCCGGCGTCCTGAGTCCTTCGGCGGGACATTTCCAGGCTTTCAGACATATTTGGGGGAGGGGGAGGGAGGGGGGGTCACCACCACAAAAATGGCGTGCGTCAACTGAGAGTCGTTTGCTTCATTCATACCAAGGGGTGCGGACGGCTCTGGAAGGGAATGGGTGAATGGGAATGGCCGAGAAGGAGGAAGGCGAATGGCAGAGGAAGTGACTCCCGGTTGGAGGGGGAGGGAGGGAGGGAGGAGGAGAAGAGTGGACGAGGAGGGAGGGAGAGGGGAGGGGGGAGAGACGTGTGATTCATTAGGAATGTAACCGCAGTGCGAGTCCCAGCGACGGTTATACCTGCCGCAGGTGTGTCCTTGCAAGTTGCACCCTTGCACCCTCCCCGACGCCCACCACGTGCATCGACCCGCCCACGATGTCTCTCATGCCCAACCCATGTATGCCTGATGCCTGCGCTGCGTCCCAGGCCCGGATGTCTTGAATTGAACAGAGCTTGCCCCTCCCCCCTCCCCTTCCCCCTATCCTTCCTCCATCCTGTCCTCTTCGCCACTCAATATGGATGCCCTCGTTCCCCTTCTCATTACGCCCTCGTCCTTCGGGCACGGCGGCGCGTGTGCAGGCATGTTGGAAGGAGCCAGGCAGGAGGCGATGTCGGCGGCAGCGGCTGCCGACGGGGGACTCTGCCGTCCTCGCGCAGCGCCGCTCAGTCTCTCGCCTTACCTGGTCAGCGGCGGCCGACTCGTCGCCCTCGCGACACGCGGACGATTACCACTGCGGGAACAAGGTCTTGCCTTGGGAATGTATTGGGCGCAGGAGGCCGAGTGCGGTGCAAAGCGGGATTCGAGGAGAGAGGGAGTGAGGAAAGTGGGGTTTCGAGTGACACGGAGCGAAGTGGGTGAGAGCAAAGGGGGTTTGGGGGAATCCTTCAGCATTGGAAGCCCTGGTGTGTCGTTCATAAAGATATAGCTTATTAGCTAGAGGATTCGAAAGAACTGTGATGAACAGCAGTTTGGCAGCCTCTTCCTTTTGATTTGATAATGCGCATTAGGAAATGGAAGATCGTTGTGCAAGGAGACGAGACCTGCCAAAGAGGACTGAAAGTGAAGCGGCCTTGCAGGTGGGGTCGAGGTGGGCCAGGTGACCTGCAGTGCTACGAGGTGCGTCCGTTCAGTGATAGTTATCATTTACTGTGACCGGCTGGAAGGGTCTGAGTGCGCTCGTGTGGACTGAAATGACGAGGGTGCGCGCTGCCTCGTCTAGACTGCCTTGTCTAGTCTGTTCAGGCTAGTATCGTAGTGAGTGGTAGAGTCGTGCGTGTCAGCTTCATCTTCGCATAGGGACCACGTGAACCAGTGCAGTTATATCAGTGTCGTTTTAGTATCAAGGATCTGTGCATCTCGTGGAGACTTGCTGTATATATCAAATGTGAGTCAAACAGAACGCGTAAAGAGCAAACTTTTCTCACGCTGACGTTGTCTCGAGAACGCAGTGACCGTGCACAGGAAGCGCCGCCGTCATTTTTCTTATTATTTTGCTGAAAACAAATTCTTGCTTTTGTGCTTTTTATTGATTCCCCTATCTCCTTTTCCTCCTTCACCTTCATTTTTCTTCAACATAATTATCATCATCATACATCTTCATCGTAGTCTCCGTCCTCGCATTCTTGCTTCATCTTCATCATCTTTTTTTCTTCTTCATCATTTTTCTTCTTCTTCCTCTCTTCTTCTTCTCTTCTTCTTCTCTTCTCTTCTTCTTGTTCTTCCTCTTCCCCCTCTTCTTCTCTTCTTCTTCCTTCTTTTCTTCTTCTTCTTCTTTTCTTCTTCTTCTTCTTCTTCTCTTCTTCTCTCCTCCTCCTCCTCCTTCCTCCTCCTCCTCCTCCTCCTCCTCCTCCTCCTCCTCTTCCTCCGTCACCACCATCATTATCATTATCATCATCGTCATTGTCATTATTATTAAATCATCTTCCTTCTTAAACCGCGTTGCGATTGAGGTTAATCGCCACAGTATTTTCGTGCGACTGCGACTTCACTTTCGAGTTTACTTACTCGTTGCGGATAAATGTTTGTAGGTTAATTGAACCCGTTTTTGCTACACATTTTTTTAAGGGCGGGCTTCGTTTTTCTTATTTTCTTATTGTATTTTTTAAAGGATATGGTTGGGGGT